GTATAATGAGAATGCAGCTAACCTTTAATATATTAACTCAAATTGGTGAATTTCTCAACCCAAAAAATGGTGAATTAATTTTTTTTCTCTAAATTAATTAATTTTTTTTCTCTAAATTAATTTTTTTTCTCTGAATTAATGGTGAAAATGAAGAAAGATATATACCATAAAATTGACAAGACCAATACAAAATTAATGCAACACTGTAAGAAAATAGACAAGACAAAATTTTGCTTAATTTTCAAGGTTTAGCATGGAGAATCATACAGGAGAAACATGGGCAATTGAAAGGGGCTTGGAAAAATTTTGAGAAAACACCTTCCGGGATTTTTTTTTTTTTTTTTTGAGAAAATATAACTTTTATCATAATAGAATTGATATTCTGATTCGTCATAATAGAAATAATATATACAGAGTCCTGCTCTGTTTTGTAATAAAAATACAGCAACCTCACGTATGCTTCCAAAATGTACAACAATAACTTCTTTGTCTGAACTTGTTGGATGGCATTAACGAAAACAGTGACGAGTCTAGTGACGCTGGAATTTTTATGTTATTTTTATTTTATATTAAAAAAATAATAATTATAAAATTACCCCAGTTTAACTCCTAAAAAATTCACAAAAGACTTAAAGAAATACTTTCAAATTTCAGAAAGGTCCCATAATTACAAAATTAGAGAGAACAATATTAGGGGTTGATGGAGATTAGGGGTTTGTGTGATTAGTTTAGAAAGAAGCACTAAGGTTTGTTGCGAAGCTATATTTTTCGAATTCATGCATGTCAACTTTTTGGGAACGTCTCATTGATCAAAATTTAGAATCGAGTATTAATTAATCATTGATTAGTGTTACACTTTTTCTGATCTTAATTTCCGATATACTTCTAAATATAGTAATTATGTGTTATTTATGGAATTTGACGAAAAAATGTCGAACATTATCCATTTAATAAGCCGCCACCGTTATGGGACCCACCTCATTAAGTAAATAAGATCTAATAGTCAAAATTGTCCGTACTACGGCTCCGATGACAATGAAATATTTAATAATTTAAGTCAGTACTGTGTATCTTCAGCTCATCGTAGTGGCCGGATTCATGGTACATGAAAAGTGAATTCAGTCTTGTTTGGAGGGGTCCTTTCCTACATACCAACTAACGTCGTTTTGATGCACGTACAGACACAAAGCCTAAAGTGAGTTCAGTGTTAGGGCTCCATGCATATTGTGCACCAAAACCACGTTCTTTTGATGGACAACACCATATATAGGATCCCTCCAAATAGGAGAGAACATGTTTGGTTTGTAACTATGGAAATATTTTTCTATTGAGAACAGAAAATTGTACAAAAAACCCTGCTTGTGAAAACTGTTTTCTAAAAACTTAGTTATAAAAATGTATGTTTTCAGATAACTATAAATAATTGTTCTCTGATAACAGTTTTTAATTTTTTGAATTTTTAAATAATTATTTTCAGAATTACAAACCAATTAAGTTGACCCTGGTCTTTTTGTTTTTAATTTCTACTTTTTTTTTATTTTTTTATTTTTTATTTTTATCATTATTTAAGCCTAAGGTGTTATATAAATAAAGCATATATGCAAGACAAATCCACCATGTGCCAGAGGTCGATTCCACACCCATTGTGTTATAAGGGGGTTTTATTTTTTCTCAATGAATAACATTTCTCTTATTATTGTTATGGGATAAGTCAAGTCTTACACACATGCATATTATTATTATTGCATATAGAATTATCATAAACTATAGGGTTAAATGCAAAAAAAACCCCTGAACTATTGCCATTTAAGCAACAAACCCCCCTGAATTATAAAAAAAATGCAACTAACCCCCTAAACTATGCAATTTTGTTGCAGATGACCCCATTCGGCAAATCTCCGACAAGTCTTGACCGTAACAGTGAATAAGTTGAAAATAAATGACCATAGTGCCCTTATACATGAAATGACAAAAAAAAAAAAAAAAACCCTTAATTGTTAAGGTTACAACCAAATAAGTAATTAATAGGTTATAATGACAGCCAAACACCCCTCAACGGTACGACTTCCGGTCTCGGCACTTTTTTCTATTCAGGTCCCTCTCTCTGAAGATTGCCTATCGTCCCAATAATTTGCTCAATCCCTTTGGTCTCGTATTCAAAATCGAAACCGGTCACTTCAAGTCACCGATTTCGAGCTTCATGACTATGAGTGCTGAGTTCAATCTGATTGGCAACCAAAACCCTAGCTTCTTCATTCACTTCAAGCCTCAGTTCGGCGACTTCTCGATTAAGAAGTCATAATCGTCAGATTTTGTGAAGAACATTAAAGCAAAACCAAACGGCGGAGGTAATCGATATGCCGCTTGTGAAAAGTGGGTACTTGACGGAGAACGGACTGTTCTCCGGCAATAAAATTACGATTTCGCCCTTGAAATCTCAGATGGCGAGTATGACTGGAGTAGGGATGACAACGGGGCGGGTTTGGAGCGGGTTTCCCTAAATCCCACCCCGCCCTTTTTAATTTTTGTCAAGTCCATGCCCGCCCCAAGACCCTCGATGGGTTGAATTTTCATGTCCAGCCCCGCCCCGTTGGGAAATATTGTGCCCCCGTGCTCGCCCCGCTAACAAATTTTTTTCTCCCACTTTTTGAAACTTAAGCTCCTGCTATTTGAATGTGGAAAGCCTGGAAATGGCACAACATAAATGAAATTATGTATCCTAACAAAAAAAAAATAATAACATACACATAACATAATTCAGATAACATAATAAATAAAAATAAAAGTTTAATACAACTAAATCACAAGAAGTTCTAAGCTCCAACTTCCACCATAATCAAAACAAAAGCAAATTTAATACCAAGTTTACGTTTTTATATATATATATATATATATATATATATATATATATAATATTGTTATATGCTTAGCGGGGCGGGGTGGGGCCCCTAGGATATGTATATTGAACCCTTACCTGCCCCGTGATCTGCGACGGGTACAAAATTTGTATTCATGCCCGCCCCAACGGTATAAAAAGTGTTCTCATATCTGTTATTAACGGGGCGGGACGGGGCGGGGCCCCAGCGGGGCAGTAAAATTGACATCCCTAGACTGGAGCTTTATTAAACGGTATGGAGGTGAGTGCGAGGACCGTCTTACCGGTGAGAAAAAGCGTCGTAGCCGTCACCGTAACTGTAGCACCATCACCTTCATACACGTCGCCGTCGCCGCCGCCACAACAGCACCATCACCTCTATACACGAATTCCCCCCAATAGATTTCAGATATATACCTTGTATATATATATGTGTGTGTATGTGATTATATATATATATATATATATATATATATATATATATATATATCTTAGCCGCCGCAAGTCAGCCCATCTCTCCACCACCGTAACCACCGTTTCCTCGCGAACTCTTCTCTCTGCCGTCACTCCATAACGGCCACCATCATCCAAACTAGCCAAGCTCACCGCCGTTCCTCTGTTGCTGTAGATGATGGCAAACACTTCCTCGTTGAAGAAAAACGAATCAACAGTTATTAGGATATCTATTTTCCGTTACCCTTATTTGATCAAACCCTAAACCATGTTCGGCGACCTTCTCCCGTGTACGGCAAAATCTTAATTCCTTAAATTCAATTAACTTTTGGCAAAATCATATTTCCATGGCTGATAATCCTTCTTCCACATTGAGATCTCAATTTTGTGATCACAAAAAAAAAACTGATTCCGGACGGTGACATCGGTTTTGATTCTTCGTCTCTGTCCAGTGATGTCGACGTAACTTCAAGTTCTTCAATCTTTATACCGCAATCAGGTGGATTTGGCCGTCGAACATGGTGGGCAAGGAGAATGTCGCCGCAGATGTAATGCAAATGGGTTTTACAACCTATTAAATTTTTTATCATTTTTGTTATTTATTTTTAATTTTGGCTGACTTTGTTTCTCTTTTTTGTTGGTTTTTAAATTACTAGTTGCCATGTCACCAAAGCTTCAGTTGGTAATCCTCAAAGCTACGTACTTTTAATTGAGGGTAAATGTGTCTTTTCATTTTTCCAACCAAGTTACTTGCCAAAAAGGATTGAAATGCAACAAATTAATAGGTCAGGGGAATTTTTTGTAATTCAAGGAGGTTTGTTGCAATATGACAATAATTCAGAAAATTTTTTTGCATTTAACCCTAAACTATATATATATACATATATATTAAACTGCGGTCCGCACTTTTTTAATACACGCGCGCGCGCAAAGACAAATTTAAAAAATTACTTTTCTTATTAATTTGAAAGAAGCCAGAACAAGACCAGTTTTTAGAGTCAAACGAAAACCCCGTATCATGCTTTAAATATGTTTTGTACTTAAACTCATTAAATTTTTGACTTTAATGTCGAAGAGAGAAGTCACTCGGTGCATTTCTCTCTCTCTCTCTCTCTCTCTCTCTCTCTCTCTCTCCTTCCATTCCTCCCCCAATAGATTTCAACAATCTATGTAAAATAATAATAAAAAAATTAACAATCTTGATGCAAACCTTACAAAGTTTAATTAATGTATAAAGAATATATATATATAGAAGTATAATATTAGTTTTATCATAGTTTATATCTTGTAAAATTGTTTGCATCATTATATATATATATATATATATATATATATATATATATAATTATTCTCTGATTTATTCTCAAAAATAATAGAACTTGTCAGATAAAAAAGTCTACAATTTATAAATCCATTAAAAATGATACTGCAACATGATTAACATTAAAGAAACAGCTATGATATAGCTAATACTGCCATTACAACCAAAGCATATACATGCATGAGAACAACATCAACAACAAGAGATGTGACCAACTTAAATGACTGCAAACAACAACAAAAAGAGAAGAAAAAAAAAATGTGACTAAAAATTACTACAAACAACAACAAAAGAAAAGATATGTCTAGGTTTAACAACACTTTATTCCATCAAATGAAGAAGCTAGCTCGATCAATAGAACCCTGAACCAGAGCCATAGTTGAATCCATAGGGCACCATAGCACCGCCGGACCCCGACGCCTCGCCATCAAACGGTGCAACACTTCCGCCAAAAGAACCTGGCATGGCTGCAAATGGCGATGCAGGCACCGGATGTATGGCTGCAAGTGGCGTTGCAGGCACCGGAGGGTTCAGCGCCCTATTCATTTGCTGTTCAGCCATCCAATTTACAGTCCCCCGAGCGTTCTGCATTGACCCCTCCAAGATCTCAAGCTGTTGCAAGTTAAGATGAATGGGTGGATCAGTCCCCAACCACTGGCTGTGAACATCTTGTTTCACAAGCTGGTTGACAGCCTCACCATGCTGCTTCTCGGATTCGAGTCTATTTTCAGCATTGGTAAGGTTCGTGTTGAGCTCACGGGCGTTGACACCGCGCTGAGCCTCAACAATTTGATTCATGACGTCGCCTGTTGGTGGAGGGTGCCGAGAAAGGTACCTGTCCACCACAGATTCGACGCTAGGGTTTCCGAAAGAGTAGACCTTCTCCCCTGGGGAGAAGACTATTGTGGCCACTTCAGCGCCACAGAGAGTAGAAAGCTCACTGGCCTTCTTGAAGAGACCGGACCGGCGTTTGGAGAAGGTCACTTGGAGCTTACTCTCATTCTCTATCTTCGCCATTTCGATTTTTTGGCGACCCTTACTCCTCCTATCCATGGCTAAGCTAGACTAGAAATGTCTAACCAGACAGAAGAAGAAACCCTAGATTTCTCTATAGTTTTGCTCTAACGCATACCAGGCTTTTATAGAGGATTCTTCGCGTCTTTTGGATGTCAAATTTCCATTATACCCTTTTATTTATCATTACGCGGAGAACTCGTGAGCATTCATTCGTTCTATAGGGGTAAGTGGATATTCCATTAAAATTGTCTCTGAAGATAAGTCTTATGGATCGACATCTCATTTAAGTGCCTACCAAAGATAAAATAATAATAATAATAATTAATTATTATTTATCAATATTAATGGAGATTTTGTTATTCAGAATTTAATTATGAAAAATAATATGTCTTCGGACCTAATTGTCGATTTCTCCTCCTCCGAATACAACGCGATTGGATCCCGTTGGAATTCTTAAAAAAAATTCCGTAAACATCTCTTCGACTCATTCCCAACCACATTGTATTTGGAGGAAGAATCGTTAATTTAAGTTGAAAGACCTATCATTTTTCTTTAATTATTACAAGGGAGTTTTATTCACGCTCCATAATTATACTGCATTCCATTTTATATGTTTATAAATAAAATGACAAAGTTAACCTTGAATTATTTTATGCAATTTTTATAAAAATTTTAAAAATTCACCCTAATTAAACTAACAAGAAGTAAAAAATATTACAAATCAACCTCTCAACTATACAAATGATTACAAATAAACCCCTCAACTATACAAAAAGTTCAAATGGATCTATCTACCTACATATTTTTTTCTCTCATCTCTCTCCCTTCGACTCTTTTCATCTTTTCTTTTCTTTTTTCTTTTTATTTATTTATTTTTTATTTTTTATAATCTAACGTACTAAAAGCTACAATGACAAATCTCTTTTATTTTCTTTTTTTTCCTTCACTCCGGTCTTCCTCTATTCTCTTCTACTCCTTTCTTCCTCTATTCTCTTCTTCTTTTCGTGCGGCTCTCTCTCTCCTCCTACCATCTTCCCTCTTTCACTAGCATCTATATCATCCTGAAATATCAAATGCAAATTACTGAAAACCTATATGAACTTAAAATAAAGAAAAGAGATTAAACCCTTTATACATATTTTCATTGTAAAATGTTTTCTTTCTTTTTATAAAATTTGACAGGAATGACTAAGATGCGGTTTGATTACTCAATTCTACTCTTAATTCTTAACAAATTAATCGTTTATTTAATTAAATGTATTCAAGAATATAATTTGAATATCATTGAAAACGCTAAGCGCTACAACTTAAAAACTTCTTCGCTTAAAATTTAGCAATTAAAATTTTAGTACTTAATTTTCAATTTTATCAAGCAGCACCTCGATAGACTTTTTATACAATATTAGTTAAGAATAGTAATTAATTATACACCAGTAATTAAAAAAAAAAAAAATGGGAGAGACAGAGTTTGCTGGAATTATTTATATCTTCTTCTGACCCTTTATACATATTCTCATTCTTCTCTCTCTTTTTTTTTTTTTTGGAAATTCATATTCTCATTCATTATTGTACACAAAAAAAACAATTAATATTGGTAAATAGGTATTTCATATTTGTAAATGGTACAGTAAAATGAGTAGGAATGAGTTAGTGACAAAGAAGATAGGGAAGAGGGAGTGAGTTGAGAGAGAGAGCCGTCCATCAAATAGGAGAGAAATGCAAGAGAGATGGGGGGGGGGGGGGGGGGGGATTTGCGATGGTTTAAGATTTTTTTAATCATTTTATTTATAAAAATATAGAAGGGAAGGGCGTGAATGCAATTCGGTGAGTGCCAATAGTATTCCTCATTAAAAATTGAGTATTGTAATTAATGAAATATATCATTATCTGGATTGTGATAATTTAATATTAAAATTATTAAAAAAATTAAGAATTGAACTTTTTTTTTTTTTTTTTTTTTTATTGGCACCAGGAACTCACCTAGGCAGGCCCCTTCGCGATCCACCCTAGACTACAAACCTAGGAATGCTATGACGAAGAATTAAACATTGTAATTAGTAAGAGGGGTGCTAATCACAGTCGCCCCCGACTGTGGAATCTCATTCGCTAGTTTAGCGGTTGACACGTGTATTTCTTTTCCCATAATTTAATTAATTACTATTTTTTTTGCTAACTTCCGTTTGGGTCTCTCATTATATATAATTACTATACTAGCCTCATAACTGATAAACCATGAGCATAAATTCTCTCTTCAGAAACTTTCACGGTTCCTTCTCACTTTAAAATTTTATTTGTTACAAAATTCCATATCTAAATGTTTAAAGTTCCAACACTAAAATTTTTTTTTTACAAAAGTCCATATCTAAATGTTTGAAGTTCAAATCTGAATTTTTTCAGATCTGTATTCTTTGTATTCGAAGTATTGCTCTAATTTTTCAGATTAAAAAAGTAAAAAAAATTTATCATAAAATAAAAAGAAAAAAGTAGTATAAAATTTTTTTAGATTATACTTTTTTTTCATCTCATTTTATTTAAAAAATAACAGAATACTTCGAAACAACGAATAATTTTGGGTTCTCTCTCTAAAATTATATGATTTTTTCAGATCCATATTCTCTGTTTCGAAGTATTCTGTTGTTTTTCAAATAAAAAAAATAAAATCAGATGAAAAAAAAAAGTATAATCTAAAAAAATTTTATAGTACTTTTTTCTTTTTATTTTATGATATATTTTTTTTACTTTTTTAATCTGAAAAATTAGAGCAATACTTCAAATACAAAGAATACATCTGAAAAAATTTAAATTTGAACTTCAAACATTTAGATATGGACTTTTGTAAAAAAGAAAATTTTATCAGTTAGGAGGCTAGTATAGTAATTATATATAATGAGAGACCCAAAGGGAAGTTAGTAAAAAAATAGTAATTAATTATGAGGAAAGAAAATACATGCGTCAATAGCTAAACTAGCGATTAAGATTCCACAGTCGCGAGGCACTGTGATTAGCACCCCTCTTATAATTAATGAAATACATCGTTATCTTGGTTTTGCTCATTTAATAATTAATGAATTGTCTTTTTTCACTTTTATTTAAAATTATTTTTTATCATTTCATTTTTCCTTAGCAATGTTCCTTGAATAAATTTTTGGACAACATAATGTTTCTTTTGTAAAATGCCAACACTGTACATACTCAATAGGTCATTCTGTGGCCAATTTGTCATACATCAACACAATGTTCCAATTACTATACTCCCAACACAGTGGAAAAATGAGAGGCAGTGGGTTTGATTGGAAAATGAGATATAAATTATATAATTAATTATTTCTTTGGATAAAGTTTTGGTCCTAGTTATAATCAATATCAACCAAAGATGTATATTGATTTTTTAAATATTATTGATGAATCACTATAAAAACTTGTTTCTAACCGTTGGACATTTGGGGGGAAAAAAAAAAAAAAGCCGTTGCACATTTTGCAAATATATGCTGCTTCATCATAATAGAGCTGTCATATGTCTCAAAAAATTAAAATTTCACTGGCATAAAAAATATTTCATCCAATCATCCATGCAAAAAAATATATTTGTAAATTACGCAGATGTCCTTGATTTTTAAAAAAACATATTGCAACTTCCCATATGCTTAGGATAGTGATTTCTCTGTCAAAACCCTTTTTTTTTTCTTTTTTGTTGAAAGTTTAATTTTTAATTTATAAATATATATGAACAAAAATACAAGCCCAATAAGGCAGCAGCCCAAAGGCATCAAATACATGACCAAGTGGAACAAGCCCAATACTCATTGACACCCAGCCCATGAACAACCTTTAAAATGCTCAGCCGTTATGGTCCTCCATTCAATCCGGTGAACGTGGGAATCATTCCCCTGCTGCAAGCCTCAAGCTTCGGTTCCTTTGATCAGGTGGTTTCGCCGGCAGTCTTACGGCGCTATCAGGAAGCTCCCATTCTACTGTAACTTTACTAACATTGTGAGTATCAGTAATTGTTGAGTTTAGAAGCTTGAAACGAATGGATTCCAGTGTGAGATGAATTGCAAGAATCAGTGATTCTCTGTCAAAACTTGTCGATGGATGGCACTAACGGAAATAGTTGCAAAGTCACATTGAATTGAGTGAGGGCATGGTTCACAGTCGCAATAACGGTTGCAGTATTGTCCGCGGATGTGGTGTAGCGAACTCGGACGAATATTAATGTAAATCGGTCATACTGGCCGATTCATGGAAATATATAACGATATATAAGACCCTTAAAAAATGATGAATGGATGGATTAGGCCCCAACCATTGGCTGTGAACATCTTGATTCACAAGCTGTTTGACAGCCTCACCATTCTGCTTCAAGAAAGTAAAAAATACTGTAAATCAATCCCTCAACTATATAAAAGGTTACAGATAAACCCCTCAACTATACAAAAAGTTCATATGGATCTATATACCTACATTTTTTTCTCTCATCTCCTCTTCCTTCTCTTCTTTGACTCTTTTCATTATCTTTTATTTATTTATTTTAATCTAACGTACGTAAAAGCTACAACGACAAATCTCCTTTATTTTCTTATTTTCCTTCTCTCCTTTCTTCCTCTATTCTCTTCTTCATCTCGTGCGGCTCTCTCTCTCCTCCTTACCATCTTCCCTCTTCCACTAGCATCTATATCATCCTGAAATATCAAATGCAAACTACTGAAAACCTATATGAACTTAAAATAAAGAAAAGAAATTAAACCCTTTATACATATTTTCATTGTAAAATGTTTTCTTTCTTTTTATAAAATTTGACTGGAATGACTAAGATGCAGTTTGACAATAATTTTGCTCTTACTTCTTAACAGATTAATCTTATATTCAATTAAATATGTTCAAGAATGCAATTTGAATATCATTAAAAATGCTAAGTGCCACCTAAAATAGGATAAAATTTTAAGCCAATGATAAGGGCATCACTTATCTATTTTTTAGTTATCACTTAAAAACTTCTGTTTAAAATTTAGCAATTAAAATTTTCAATACTTAATTTT